CTCTCATTTCTTGGAAGACAAAGAAACAAGCTACCATTTATAGATCTTCCTCTGAAGCAGAATATAGAGCCATGGCATCAACAGTATGTGAAATTCAATGGTTGAAATACTTGTTGACAGATTTGCAAGTGAACACTGACAGTCCAGTACCTCTTTTCTGTGATAATACTTCTGCTATTGCAATTGGAGAAAATTTTGTTTTCCATGAGAGGACTAAACACATAGAGATAGATTGCCATGTAGTGAGGCAAAAAGTACAAGATGGAGTAATTAAACTGCTGGGAATTCCTTCTCATAAGCAGTTGGCAGATGGATTCACAAAAGCCTTAACTAAGCCCTTGTTTAATAAGTTCCATGCTAAGCTGGGCCTTCAAGACATTCATGCTCCAGCTTACGGGGGGGGGGGGGGGGGGGTGATGGAGTAATCTCAACTTCCCAAGGGTCTTTTATGTCATTTCATTGCTCATAGTTAGTTATGGTAGTTAGTCTTGGTTGTTATGGCTGATTATATAAAGCCTTCTTCTTCTCTGCTGTAAGGTGATCACTTAGATTTTATGTTCTCTTATACTTGAGCTTTCCTTGATTCTTCTCAATACACTGAATCATGTCACATTTGCATCCATTCGGTTTCAACTAAATCATCATGAAAAGTCAGTGACAGCTTCAAAGCATCTCCGGATTATATTATTCCGTTGCTTGCGAGGATTGCTATTGCCCCTTAAGTTGTCAATAGTCGATTTAGAGTCACTCTCAATAATGAGCCGAGTTGTTCCAAAATCCTTGGCCATGCGCAGCCCTTGGAAAACAGTCCGAGCATCCACTTTCTCAATAGAGTAGGAGCCAATATTATACGTAAATCCTTTGTGACACAGAGCACTCTACCACAGCCCGTTGCTCCGGTGACACTAGTCATGCTACCATCTACGTTCAGCTTCGTCCAACCTGCCCTCGGTTGCTGCCAAGCAACATAAGCGTCCACAAGTTACACACTAAGTCTAACGAGAACCATTTTCCTCACACACGCTGCATGCACCACCGCTCCGCTTCTTGTTGTCAATCCACTCAAGTTTTTGAGCCAACGAGATGATCTGAATGTTGAAAATAGCCATTTTCCTCCATCTCCAGATCCACCACATGCGTATAGCAAAACTCGCAGGGTAGTCGTCGTTGAATCCTAGTTGTGCATCCCCCCTTGAGGTTTGTGGTCAACCATTCATCCCATCCCAGGTTAAGAAGCTTCATCGCAGTGTCCCTAGATAGAGCCTTCTCCCATATCCCCTTCGCCTCTTTACATTGCCTAAAGATGTTGATGATTTCCTCCATTTGCCTTGCACAAACAACACAAGAAACATCAATAGTAAGTCGACGTCGATCTCTTTCCTTGTTCGGCATGAGTCTCCCATGTTTAACAATCCACAGAAACATGCTAATTCGAATGGGTGTTTTCAATTTCCAGATCCACTCCAGTCTCCCACTGCGCTAGTCTCTTATTGATTCACAATCAAGTTATAGACTGATTTAACCGAGAATTTCCCAGCGGCCTCCAACACCCATCCGTCCACATCGTCATCACTTCCACTCGACAAAATGAAACTCTCCAGCTTAGTTTTCACGTTTTCTGGAATAATGCCATCCAGAGCTTCCCACCTCCATCCCCTTCCTTCCTCCCAATAGTCCTCTACATTAGCATACAATTCAGGAAGACTCAAAGGTGCGCTAAGATGTGCAAACAATGGCTGGGGGGTAAGCCATTTATCCATCTAGAAACGAGTTTGTTTGCCATTTCGTACAAGTCTAATGGATCCTTGTTCCAAAATACCCTCGGAGTTGATAATACCCTTCCAAGCATTCGAGAGATTCCTACTACCTCATGGGCCTGCATTTCGTCGATCGTTGTCCGTATATTTGTTCACCAAAGTCTGGGCCCAAAGGCTCCCTTTCTCCGTCTGCAAACGCCACCCAAGCTTCGCCATACAAGCCATGTTAATATCTTGTAATCGTATAATCCCAAGGCCTCCCCTGTCCTTAACAGTTGTAATTGTATCCCAGTTAACCACGCTCATGCTATTACTAGTGTTGCTTCCTTCCTTCCCCCAAATAAAGCTTCTCATTTTCCTTTCAATATGTTGGAAAATCCTTTTGGGAATAACAGCCGTTTTCATGGTATATATTGGCATAACATTAAGCACAGATTTAACAAGAGTGACTATCCCAGCCATAGCGAGTGTTTTCGCTATCCATCCTTCTAATCTAGAGATTATCCTATCAAGGAGCTCAGAATACGTGCGTTAAGTAACCCGCCCATGAATAGATGTGACATGATAAGCCATGAAATAGCTCATAATTGTGCTTCATTTGTACTAAATTTTTGATTGAATGCTAGGTAATTGCATTGAAATGTGGCTTTGTTCATGTGTTTTTGGATCGAGGAAAGGAAATTTAGACTTAGACATGCAGGAGCTTAAAATGAGGACAAATCGGGATGATATAGAGGCAAAATGGTCTAAAAATGGAAGGTCAAAAGCATAGCACGGAGCAACGGAGCAACAACGTAAAGATCATGTCCAAAGCTTCCCCCGGAGGGTGTTACGCTAAATGTCACACCGTGACCATCAGTGTGACACTCTAGCCAGCTTTGAGATGGTCAGGCGTCACGCTGAGGGTCACACCGTGACTGTAACACCTCACTTTTCTAACTCTTAATCATAATTCTAAACCACACTTATCATGAACTAAGCAGCAGAATTAAAAGCTAAAAAGATAACTAGTGGGAATGTCGCCGCCACAACCACCACTTCGTGGTGATTGCAACAAAATAAATATTTAACATCCATAATAAATACTGAAAAACATAAGGGGAAAAAGGTCACCCCAAAAGCCTACATCATCAAAGTCTACAATTCAACAAAAGTCTAAAATCTGGATAAAAAGGTCATCAACAAAACATAAGAGTTTAGACATCTCAAACTATGAGACTAATCTAACTCGATCACTTCTCACTACTGGGCCCACCTGAAAGGGGTTTGCAAGCAACACATAGACAAATAGGAAAATGCCCGTTAGCACGAAGCTAAGTATAACCACACTCAACCTTGTAAAGTACTATAGGGTATACTTTGGAAAACATTTGGTTTCACTCGTAAACAACAAACTCATCTCATAGACAGCTTTAGATCTATCACAAACTTTCTAGATGCTTGCAACCTATAATATCAACATGCATGCTTCGATAGATAAGACTTAACAACTTTGATACTTCAACATGTGAAATTCACAACAACTCAACAAGCAACTCATGCTTACAAGTAGTATCATGCTAATAACCATACAACAGGTATTCTCAAATTCTCACCACATAAACTGGATATACAAGGCTTCAAATGTAACTAAACAATCATGCTCGATAATCATTCTTAAATCAACATACTCATTACATAATCTCATACGATATTGTACTCAAATGCAAACTTGTGCAATACTATAGTCATATGCAATCTCATGCAACACTATAAACATACTCATATGCAATCTCGTGCAAAACTATACTCATGCTCATATGCAATCTCGTGCAATGCTATAAATATACTCATATGCAATCTCGTGCAAAACTATATTCAAGCTCATATGCAATCTCGTGCAATGCTATAAATATACTCATATGCAATCTCGTGCAATACTATAAATATACTCATACACTCATTGTAAAAATATAGTACTTTCTGTGGAGGTCTCTTTGAGTCATAATTGACTTGATTTCTTTCTCTCTTTCTTTCTTTCTTTCTTTCTTTCTTTCTTTCTTTCTTTAGAGTCGCAATGACTCACTTCTTTCTCTTTGGAGTCGCAATGACTCATACTTTCTCTTTGGAGTCGCAATGAATAATACTTTCTCTTTGAATGGACGAGATAGGAACTTCATCATAGTGTGAATGAACCTATCTGGGCACGGCGTCTAGCCGACCTAATACTCTGCTCGTCCACCGAACCACTATACTCATACTCTGTGGAATCAGGTATCGAACTTTTAGTGTGCACACCCCCTGACCAGGATTCCAAGCCTGGCGGGCAATTTCCAACCTTGTAACGTGGGAATACGCCGTGTTACATATACTGTGACCGCAATGTCCATAAAATCATCCGAGAGGACATAGTCCAAATGGGATCCTCCAAAACCTCACCGATATAGATAATACATAAATATATCTCTCATGCATGCAACAACTCTACTACTTCTCAATGCATCAAAGAATGATATATCACATGCTTATAGCTTTTTGAAAGTAATACTTGGGCTCACGTTGGCCCCTTATGCATTTTTGAAATATGACATATGTGAGATGCAAAATACACTATAACATGCTTCTAAACCATGTATATAAACCATAAAATACTCAAGGATATAATATCATGCTCGGTTTGCAACATAGCAAATTCTATACATTTCTATCAACAAAATATGCTTCAATTCTCATGGATCAAATATCACATCTTAGTCATGCTTTCATAATAAATCATATTCTCAAATAATCATGCTTCTCTACTCAATAAAAATAACATCAGATTACATAGCCAAGCATTTCTCATACACAGAGACTTAACAAAATATGTATTGTGTAGTAATTTCCTCAATAAATTCATCATAACATACTCATTTTTTTTTATCCAAATTCAACGAAATTAAAGCCAAAACGTGCGTCGAGACGACCCCGAGGTACCGAGCCACAAGGGCCCGTGACACCTGGCCCGAAACGACACGTAGCTGAGCCACAAGGGCTCGACCACTGCACAAAAACTCCTCAGATCAATACTCAGGGACCTGGGGCGGGACTCCTCATGAGCCGCCCCATGAGACCCGTTACAATACCGGGCCTAGGCGGCGGCCCTCTCCTAGGGCCATGCCCTAGACCCAGGTAACCCCGGCTCTAGCCGGCGGCTCTCCTGATGGGCCGCGGCTAGGGTCTCTGGTCTGATCTGGTGCACACACAGTGTGCACCAGATGACATTTACATCTGCAAAAACAATCCAAACAAGTCCAAAATATTCTCAACAACTCAAAGACAAATACTAGATCGCTTCCAAGCATAAACACAACAAAATATCATAATTTCTACTCAATATCAAAGGCTTCACAGAGCCAAAATCAAAGAGGGAGTCCATGGGGTTATACCTCTTGTTGCTTCTTCTTCTTGGATCTCTACCTCCTCTCTACTCAAACACCACCTCCTTCACCACCTAAACATCTCAAACACAAGCCGAGGCTAAGAAACCTCAGAGATTGAAAGCTAAGAGGAAAGGAAACCTTAAGCTAAGATGGAAAATGAATGAAGGAAATGAATGTTGAAACTTACTACAATTCTCTTTTGCTTCTATTAGACAAAGGTTGGGGAGAGGCAAGGTTGGAGATCAAAGGATCACAAATGAATAGTGTTGTTTATATAGGGTGCAAAACCCTAGGTAGAAAGCAAATGATTGGGTGAGGGCAAAATGGTAAGAATTTGGCTAGAATATGTTCTCAGACAATGTTCCTTGGAATGAAGTGGTTCACCTAGCATCATGAACCAAGGGCTAGAAATGCTATTTTAAATACTTTGGGGTTGAAAATGAATTTTCTCAAAAATTTATCTAGATGAACCCTAGTTTAAAGTCTTTTTGAATTCTCCCGGTTTCACTCAGATTGATTTCTCGATTTAAAACTTGATACGCGAAGTACCCGAAAATTTAGGATTTTGGAATAAAATAAGTTTTGGTATTGAATTAATTTAAAATGTGACAAAAATAATTTATTCAAACACCAATTGATCGCAAAAAATTTTAATGGAGTGAAAATGGCTATTTTCGGAATTTCTTAAAATTGGATTTATAAAATAAAATTTTAGGTTTTTACAGTGACCACCAGCGTGACGTCGTCACTATTTGAAAGTAGCCTGCCCTGTTACGATGAAGGTCACGACGTGACCTCCATCGTGACCAGCTAGACCCCTTTGCTAATCTTTAGGTGTCACGCTGGTAGTCACGTCGTGACCACCAGCGTGACACCCTAAGATCAGAAGGCTGTTTGGAGGGTCACGATGGAGTTCACACCGTGACCAGGCAATCTGAAGGCAGTTTTATTGGCGCAATTCAAAGATTATAAATAGTTTTAGGCATTATTTTCATTTTATCTTTTAATCTTTCGAATCTTTCTTTACATTTTTTCTCTACTCACACCATTTAGAACATAAACACATTGTATTCCATCATCGTTTGGAATATTTAAAGGAAGATTACTGTATGTAATTACAACTTTCAACTTCTATTTCAGATTTATATTCAATAAAGTGAAGTATTCTATTTCTTATTCTTGCACTTTACAAATTACTTTTGAAGTTGAATTCATTGTGCATTATTTCAATTGCTTTTAGTTTATCAATTCCAGTATGAGTAGTTAAACTAGTTACGAATTTATATTGAATTGCTTTGAATGAATGCCAAAATGAATTAAATTGCCAAATCTAGGGGTTGCAATATCTTTAGAATGAATTTGATTGTGAAATTGGTAAAATATTTTGACTCTTGTTCGGTTAGGGCCCAACTTTGCAAGGGGATTTTGGATTTGGTGTTTCATCGATAATAGGTATTCACCATAGCCAAACCTATTACATATCCAACTTACTCTTGAGAAAGGAGAGTTGGAAGGGAAATAACACACAAGGTGTTTGATTAATTGCCTCACCTAGTCTAGTTGCCATGAGAATGGGATTAGAACTCAGGGGATAACCCAATGACCATGAGAATGGCGTTGACACTCGCTAAACTCCCTCACTTTCATAATTAATCATTGTTTGGCTTAGAAAATTAGAACATTAAGAAACATTTATACAAAATGGTTTTTATCTAAATCCTTTCTTTCAATATTGTCTTTTACTTGATTTATTGCTTTATCTTAAACTTGTTCTCTATGCAAACAAATATTTCCTTTCGGTTAGCTTTCAAACACTCGATGATCTTGTGTTTAACCCCTCTCTACTCAATTCCCTTATAGACATTCCTAGGGGACGACACTCACTAAACACTCTCAGCCATAGAGAGTGTTTTTGCTATCCATCCTTCTGATCTAGAGGTTATCCCGTCAAAGAGCTCCGAATACGTGTACTAAGCTCATAATAATATCACAAGGCACAAAATACTTGTCCACACGAACTGGGACATCTTCAAGAGTTCCAATGGGGCTCCTAGTAAACTGATCAATAAATTGCAATATAAGTTGGACCAGTTGTGGATCCCCCAAATTCAACTTTATGCAAAGAGATAGAGGCATGGCATTAACACTGGCTCCTAGATCACAAATGGATCTTTTGATCGTACGGCCACAAATAACACAAGGGATCATGAACCTCCTCGGATCTCTATGCTTACTTAGACTCTTTCCTTCTTCTCGTGTCAAGGCCCTGTACTCTTGTGCCATAACAATCATCTCATGATCCCCAAATTTCCTCTTTTTAGTAAAAATATCCCTAAAAAATTTTCCATAAGAAGGAACTTGAGAAAGCAAATCAAGCAAAGGAATTAAAACTTTCAAATTTTCTACCATATCCAAAAACTTTTTCCATCTACTATCCTTTACTTGTTTTTGAAATTTTTGAGAGATTAGCAATGATGGTTCATACATTCTCACGAGCTTCTCTTCCTCATCATGGTCTTGTTGATTTGTCTTCAAAGCAGCTTGCTCAACTTCTTCTTCCTCAAGTTTCTCCTCAATCTCCACATCATCAATTTTACTTGAAATTGATGTGTCAATTGGAAGAGATGGTTCTCCAATTATCTTCCTACTCCTTGTGACAATGGCACTGACTTACTCCCTTGGATTCTCGGGATAAGCGGTCAACTTCCCAGTGACCTTGGTGCTAGAGGTTGAGGCCTGATTTGCAAGTTGGTTTTCTAGCATCTTATTATGAGCACTTAGTTGATCCAACCTCTCAATCACTTGCTTGAATCTCTCCTCACTTCGCAGTTGGGATTTTAGTATCATATTCACCATAGCTTCCAAGTTTGGTTGTGGTGGGGCTTACAAAGCAGGTAATGGTGGTCTAGGTTGAGATGACATACCTTGGAATTGTTGCCCTTGGAAACTTGATGTCCTCTATTGCCAAAATGTTGGGGATTTGCAGCTCCCATTGGATTGCTCCAAGAAAAACCAGGATGATTTTTTGAGGAGTTTGGATTATAAGCCCCTTGAGGTTGTAATGATTGTTGTGGTGGCCTATTGTATCCCACCAAGCCAAGTTAATGTGCTCCATGGGAGATTGAGAACTAGAATCATTAAGGCATTTTCCCAAATTGTGTCCTCCACCGCAAAGATCACACATCAAAGCTTGACCCAAAGGAGTAGGGGTAGAAACATAACTCACAGTTTGATTTTGAAGAGTGATTTGAGCTAGCTTTTGGACCATGGAAGCAACATTATCGACCTTAGCTGACAAGGCTGGAATTTTCTCTACCTCATGCATTCCTCCTATAAGTTTTTGTGAAGATCTCTCCGAGTACCAAGTTAATCCATTCATAGTAATCTTCTCCAATAGTTCTTCGGCTTGAGTTGGTTCCAAAACCATGAATGACCCACCCGAAGAAGCATCAACTAAGACCCTTTGAGTTATCAAGCAAACCTTCATAAAAAGCCATCATCAAATCCCAACTTTGGATGCCATGATGTGGACACGGCCTTCTCATCTCCTTAAATGTAACACCCCTAAATTTGTTAAACTTTTAAAGCTCATGGAATAAAGGTAAATATAATATTAATTCCCAAACAGAGCATAAACTAAACATGATAGTCGGGGTGCTATGCCACATCTGAGCTAGAGAACTCAAATGCGCAGGCTAAACTAACTAACAAAGCGTAATCAAATTCAAATATAAATCAAGGCACGCATGCCATTTCATCAACGCTAGAACTATCTAACTAAGCCCACGAATCCAACTAGCGCGCTTTGAAGCTACTCAACTGCTCCTGAAAAACATTCAGTGTAACAACTGTCAGCGAATAATGCTGGTAACCCACTCTAACGTGTTAAGTACAATATAGGTAGATATAAGAAACTCATTTTGAAACTGGAATACATACATACTTACGAGACTCTAATTTAAATTCAAGATCAAGACTCAAGACACAATAACAGACTCAACAGTATAGAATAATCATAAAGACTAGCATGCGTCCTAAGAACATGTTGCGAGACATGACAGGCAGATAAGCATATAAATAACAAATAGAGGCAACAAAGGCATTCAAGACAGTTAGCAAGTAATCAACAAAGCACACAATCCATCTTCCAACCTTATACCAAGTTCCAACCTTGTAGCTCCCTTCCGTCCTTATATCAGTTTCAACCTATACCTCCAGGCCACCCTTATTCCTCCGGGCAACTACATGCCCCCACCGACAAACCACCTTTCAACCACCAACATATCAAGATAGCGCTGCAGTGCCATTCACATGATCCGCACCTCTAGTGCCAATATCAAGGGGTCAGAGCATATAGCCCTGACATGACACCGCAACACTTATAACCTGACCCATACTCAACGGCAAGCTAGTCGAAGGTGGGTTTGTGCCTTTAGCACAGTAACCGCTAGGCCTGTACCTTTAGTACAATGATCGGGCACAAGTGGTGCCAACCGCCAACAGTTCATTTCCACCAATCACAATCTCATCATCATCATCATCATTAATCACACCGGCCATTGCGCAATGACCACGATACTCTTCACAACTCAATCAATCAACACATAATCAATCAAGACACAACAACAACGACATGTATTACACATAAATTCCTAGAACGATACCCAAAACACCAAACGAGACTCATACACGACAAACGGGGTACAAAGGGGCACAACGGGACACGGGGAAACAACAAACAGGGAAAAACATCACGAACCACACCCCCTTTCCAGCGGGTGGGTGGCGGGTGGAGGACCACCCGCCGGCGGCGTCCCACTGTTCCAGCGGGTGCCCGGCGGGCAGTCGCCTGCCCGCTGGGATAGTACACGGGCAGCGGGTAAGTGGCGGGCACCCCTGCACCCACCTACCCGCCACTGACTCACAGGTAATTTTTCGGTCCCGGGATCTCTCGTGGAACCTGAAACTGTGTCCAGACACATTCAAACACATAACGACAACACCACGTATTCAATTAACGGGATTAAACCAAGAATTATACCGAATACGTTTTAACACGATTCCTAAACATGCCAAGACCCAACAATAATCATATAACGATTCAGGAACATCCGGAACCACAAGAACATCAAGAAATCTATATGCGAAGTCCTAAACACAAGTCATAGGCTAGACTTAACACCCGATCATGCATAATCCCACCCAAATATACGAAGAACATCATAATACGAAATTCACGACATAAACCCTAGAGCTCTAGACATAATTAAAATATGAGATCATACATATAATAAATCAAAATATCAAGAACATCAAGATTATCAAATAAACACAATATAAACCCTAAGCAAGGCTCTATCAAGACTCAATCACAGAATTACACATACGATTATCAAAGGAGCCAACGAATAAGATATAGCAAGGAAAATATGTTTTGTCGAGACATGGGTTACCTCTTAGCCCTAACCAATATCACTGGCTACTAAGGTTTTTCTCTAAGATTCTCCTCCCAATTGATCTTCCTAGGCTTGTTGGTGGGGGATTTCCTCGGCTGGAGTTCCTGCGAGTAATTTCGAGTGAGGGAAGGGAGAGGAAGGGTTCTATCTGTTTCCTAATCCCCTATTTCTGAATAATAAGGACCGCTTTCCCTATTCCCTATGGGCTTAAGGTTCCTGGTTCAGGTAAAGTTTCACGATTCATGGTGGACCACCTGGGTTAATTAAGGGAATTATAATTGGATTAAATCCCTCTTAATTATTTTAATTAGTGAAATTAATTTAATAATTAATTCGGAATTGAAGGTCGTAACAACGGGTGTTACATTAAATCTCTCCCAAGACTCAGTTAGAGATTCAGTTGCCAATTGCTTGAAATTTTGGATTGCTCTCCTCATCTTTTGAGTCTTGGAAATTGGATAGAACTTCTTCAAGAGTTCCCTATGCAATTGATCCCAAGTAACAAAGTGGTTGGCTGGGAGTGAGATGAGCCAACCATGAGCCTTATCCCTTAATGAGAAAGGAAAAAGTTGGAGCTTAATGGCTTATTGAGGAACTCCATTGATTTTGAAGGTGCCACATATCCGGAGGAATTTTGTGATATGAGCATTTGGATCCTCTGTTGGTGACCCTCCAAATTGATCGGAAGTGATCATGTGCAAGATGGCCAGCTTGATTTCGAAATTGTTGGCCACCACACTTGGAACATTGATGCTATCATGTTCCTCAAAATCGGGTGCAATGTAATCTGACAAGGATCGCCCTAGGGGTGGTGGTTGATTGACTCCATTATCATCCCCCTCTCCATTGATCTTCAAATTGACTTGGTTTTGTCCATGTGCCATTCTTCTTTGCTTTCTAAGAAACTTGGCTCTCTTTTCAATCTCAAGGTCCAAAGGCTATATTCCTTCTTTCCCAAAAGATTGTATGCGGATACAACACCAAGTTCTTAGATCAAAACAAAATCACAACTCAACAAAAGCAACTTGTTAAAGGTTATCAAAAATAAAATAAAACAAAAATGGATTAGACTCCTAGAATAAAACATTCACTAATGTTAATACTTCAACGCCACTTCCCCAGCAACGACGCCAATTTGGTTTCGGTATAATTCTCAAACAAATAATTGCTCGGAGTAACGATTTATCGATCCACAGGGAAGTGGGGCGTACTAAGAACTAGCTACTAGTCTAATCTTGTGAAGCTAATCCTAACGAAAGACATGAAGGGTTGATTAAAATTAATTTAAAAAGCAAAGTAGCAGGTTTGTGAAAACAATAGAGGGAGAATGAGATTCCTGGGATTCAAGTATTCAATCCCCTAGTGCCAATATTAAGAACAATATTAAATCTGGGTTTAAACAAGTGTGAGAATGCAAACAGTGGAAAGAGTTACTCCCGTAATCTCTAACCTAAGTGAATATTCACTCCCGTGATATAAACACCCAACAAATTAGGAATAAGCATTCATAATAAACTCTTAACTACCACCATCACTTCCTAAAAAATATGCCCTCTCCCAAGGTGCAACAACTAAGTGCAATTGTGGGTGCTCTCAATTATACCCTAACTCCCATTAAGTCATAAAGATTGCTGTGAAACAAGTAATCATGGCCACTAACTACTAGCATCAACAATATAATTCACAATTGCAACACAAGTATAAAACTCAAATATTAATATATTAAAAGAATATGAGAACTAGGCGCATATGTTCATAAACACTTTTATCCAAGAATCTCTACGAAAACTTAGCCACACATGGCTAATATAGAATTCATAGCAATAATAAAGAGTTTACAAATAATCAAAGAGAAAAGAAGAATAGACCAAGTGATTCTCCTAAATCTCCCTAGCTTTTCTTCTTTATTCCCAAGACAATTTGTAGCTCTTAATTCTCCTCTTTCTTGTCTCCAAAACACAGCATAGGGTTTTCCAGGGTTGAGGAAGGCGGGCTTTTATAGCGCGAGCGAAATAGGAAATTTCCGCGCAAAATTGGAATATGCCAAATCGGCGACTCGACGCGTCAAACTTGAGGTATCGTTTTTCCGAAATCTCGGCTGTACTTCTCGACGCGTCGAGCCTTTGGCTGATCGTCTCTGAAAGTTACTAGAAATTCTCGACCCGTCGAGTCCTCTGTGCTTGCACCGTCTGGTCTACTTCGGCTCCAAACTCGCCCTAGAACTTCCCTTGCTTTTACACATGATCTACAATGGTTCCAAAACACTAACAAACATGGTAAAACATTCATAACAAGTGTAAAACCACATCTTAGTGACAAAACAAGAAAATATGCATTTAAAGTAACATTTTCATGAACTTAATCCCAACAAATGTATTTAAACTAACACGAGAAACATGTACACTTAAGCTCACATCAGTAGCCTGAATTACTAAACCTGATATATAAAGGAAATAGTAAATGGATAACAAAATAAGTGTTACGGGTCACGGAGATCGAATATCGTATTAGATCGTAGCTCCAAAGCTATTACAAGATAATATAATGCTATTAAAGAGTAGTTTAGGACAAAGATAGATAAATTGTCATGACAAGACAACAATGAGGGTATTTGTACATAAGAAACCTCCTAACCGCCCCCCTAATGTAGTGTGACGATTACAACTCCGCCTTGTCCGCGTTTGGTCCCAAGATCGGACTCGCGGTTCGACCGGCCGAGGCCCCGTAGCCGAAACCCCTTGGCCGAGTGCCTTGGGCCGAGGTGGTCTCTAGGTGGGCCGGGTCAGGCGCGGGGCTCAACCTTAGAACTCCATGTCCGCTTGAATCCTCCTTGTTTCGTCTTCTCTCCCTATTTATAATATGTCCATCAATTATATATAAGACTAGTTTTTCACGCGCATTGCGCGATTAGGATAATGTCCCATGTTTATTTATAAATAAAACTTTAAAGTATATCAATCAATACAAATTATATAAGAGATGTCCATGCATAGATAATTGAATGTTAAATTTGCTTATTTAAATGGACAATTCTAAGTTTACGAATGCAAGATAATATAGTCAAAATTGATTATAATTGCCACTAAAATAATTGTTTTCAACTTTATAAAAATGCTAGTCTAAATATTTAGTCTAAAAATGATAATTTAGGGTATTAAATGACCAAAACTATAATCTAAGACTAAATTTAAAATTATCACCTAATTCTAAATTAAAGAAATGGATATGTATTATTATCTTTTTAGTTTCCTTTTGTGTGTGCCATTGATTGGTGAAGGTATCTCTATAGGACACGCTCGTTTATCAAAAATATACATTGTACCCATTCATTCCATGGCTACAAAATTTAAATCTCAGCTTGAAAGTTGGAGAACCAAGAAAGCAGGTATCATAAATTTAGTACATAAATCTTAAATTAACAATAAATAAATAAATAAATCTAGTGTCTTAACTTGCACAATTATCATCAAATTGTAAATCCTAACGCATAAAAGATTGGCAACAACCATGAAGCCAAACACCTTGTGCTCAGATGGCACCCGGGTTGGACTCCCATATGAGAGGTTATGAGTTCGAGCCTCAGTGGAGGCATTATTGGTTCTTTGTGCTTCAATAGGTTAAGAAAGTAGGTAGACAATACAAAAGATGAAATGACTGTTATTTTATTTCATGCAAATTTGTAGCCTTTATGAAAGAGCATAATTCAATAAACATGGAGTACAATTGTGATGAACATCAGAGACAAGGATGTACCTTGCTCCATCCACATGGTGCATGATATTTCAATTGCCCAAAGGTTGCTCAATATTATAATTCCATGAACATATCAAACCTGAATTCTGAGTTGATTTGGATTATCTTTATTCCGTTTACAGAATGAAAAGATCTTTCCACCTAAAGGATGTGATCCATGAACAAATAGCATATCAAGTCCAAGGTTGTTTCTCTGCTTTTCTTCATCCTATATAATAAAGATACCATTCAAATTTATCAAAATTGCAATCAAAAAATGTAAAAAGATGACTATTTATCCACAGCAAGAACAACTACCGTCAATGTGTTCACAACTTTTGCTATCTCTGAGAGAATAAGGAATTCCTTAAAAAATGGTAACTTACAGCCTGCATATCAAAGGAAAATAAGCAGGAGCAATCAATGGATGCAATTAAGACAGGAGCAAAACTGACAAGTGGAAATGTGAAATTGCAAGAAGGTTAGTTTCAGAGGGGGCATTTCAGAACTGAGGATGTGCATAAATGAAGAAAGTAGGTTATCAACAAATACTTGCCATGAATGCCTTTTTCCATTGATGTCAAGCTCAAAATCTGCCATGAAAGAATAATCATACTTCACAGAAGGAACTAATCAAGCAAAAAAATTCAATTTAGTAGAATTCATCATACCAGGAGGATAGAAGTCCAAAATGGGGGACAGTGGATCTGTCATCAACTTCTTGTACGAAAGAGGGAGTGCTTGTGCACTACGTGTGTGCAACAATTTTGGTTACAATAAGAATATTAATATTCGCATATATGACCAATATAAGAATCTTTAAAAACAAAACAAAAAAAAAAAGTATAAATAAGTCCAAAAACTTTGCAGCTGGAAGGACACCTATCAATTGATCAAAAGGCTTGAAGGGCTTGCCTAGTGTGAAAGTTATGTCTAATTGATCAAAACCATGAAAATCAGATGCAAAGGGAGCATAGTGGTAAGGATAAAACCTGCAACATAACAATTTCAGGTTGAGTAAAGCAAAGATCATAACTATTACTAATATCATCTTCTGAAAGGGCATACCATTGCCAGGAGCAGACTCCTTGGCAGTAATAATGCATTACCCAACATATCCCTTCAGCATATTTCAAAACCTATGTAAAACTGAAAGCTATTATTGAAAGGAAAATTGAAGATGAAGTTCAATTTCATGATAAGCGAGATGATTAGTTTGCAACTGATTTGAGTATGAGATGCAGCAGGTACATGTAATATTCATTTATACCGTTAAACCCACCTCTAATTTAAACATGTTTTATGGATGCAGAAGTAAAAATGACATAGAGAGTAATATTCTACATTGTAAGGATCATTGCAATTAAATCAGATGTAGTATAGAAGTCACAATCCACACAACCCAAGAGGAAAAATATAAATTAGACCAAACAAGAAAGAAAAAACAAATGACCAAGAGAATCAACAAGAAGACAAAAAATAATCCTTACAACTGGATTGGAATATTCTAGTTCTTTTCATGTTTAAAGGCAGTACAGCAAGAATGAATATCCTTACTGTATCCCTACGAACCCTATCACAATCTTCAACATATTCAACCCCAATTTTTTCTGCATAATATCTGTCTTTCCAGCCCTCTTCCCCTAATTTAACCTGAAATTATAAGATTTAGAATTATGAATTAGGAACTTGTCAATGCCAGTTAATGATTTTTACAAAGTAACTTGAAAATAAAATGAAAGATCACAGACCTTGTCATCTTCTAAAGCAGTCTTGAAATTTGTATGCTTATTACCTTTAGGATCTGACTGATTAGACAATCATTCAATTCAAAATTCAATAGCAAATTCTTTATTCACCAATAACTCAAAATAAGGTTCAATGTTAACATCATACTCACATTATTTGAAATTTCTAAGAAAAGTTCTAATTTCAGTTATCATTGCTGTTCTTCAACAACTGGAAAAAACTATAAAGAGTTGTTATTTAGAAGAGTATTAGCACAATGCATACCTGACATTTTTCTACACATATACACATACAGAGAAAAGGAAAATCACACAAAGAAATAGAGTATTGAACATAAATTGTAACTAAATCACCAGACATATCTAGTGACTACCAACCAGCAACGAACCCCCTGATGCTCGAGCATACCAGTCAATGACATCCGTGGTGATACTGACCAAGTTCTGATTCATCTATTAGTAGGTAACATAACATGTCCAAAGAACTTAAACTGAAAATCAAACAACTTACCAAATCAATTTTAGATGTTTGAAATTATCGTCTACGTATTTCTTCTCGACAGTATCAAGCAACTTGTTATACAAAGGGAGGCCCAAGTAATCTCATTTGTCGTCGGTTGCTCGGTTGGTGCCAAATCATGCAGACGGTAAACCACAGGGGTGCTAAAATACCTGCTATATCCTGCGGGTGTACTAAACGGCGATGACTAAAACCCAACAAAAGGAGTCTGGCTAAAATACCTGCGATATCCTTGCGATTTGGCGAGGTTTGGCGAAACCTTGATGGCTAAATTCCTTCTGAACATGACTGGCGAGGTTTGGCGAAATAAATCAGCAACTTGAGGGAAATTTGGTGGAACCTTGCGCTTGCGATTTTCTAAACAAGAACATAGCAGCAAGAGGAACTGATCAAGCAAAACTGGTGAGCTAGCAGTTTGAGGGAAATTTGGCGAAACCTCTTGCGATTTTCTGAACGATGACCTGTGAGGTGGCTAAATTCCTTATGGCGAGGTTTGGCGTTAAGAGATATATTAATGGTGAACTAACGGTAATTCTTAAAATTTTAACGGATGGACTAACGGTGTGTGGGTATTTAAGTAAATCTCATTGTAAAATTTAAATCTAATCAATTTTATGATTAATTTGAGCCATTCATTTGATTAAAAACTGTAGCAGACATTTTTTCTACCCATTTTAGGCCTAACCCTCTTGGGCTTTTATTAGTATAGTAGATAGATATATAATTATCATAGATGGAGAGGCGCATTAAATACCTAAGCTACTACATAATAAGTGAAGTTATTAATATTGTAATAGTTATAGTTACCAAAATTGTTTAATATGATGTGTGTACATTTGTTGTGGCAAATTATACTGCAGGACATTGATACATATTTATTTTTAGTATATTGAATGTTTATTTTTAATATATTGAAAATTCATTTTTAGATAATATACTAAATAATGAATATTCAGTATACAAACATAAACTTTAAAAAATGAATATTCAATATATACTAAAGGGAAAACGGCGCTTTTGGCCCCTCAATTGTTTTACTTTTAGAAATTTAGCCCTTATCAATTGATTTGAATATACATAACCTTTTAATTGTTCATAATGTAGCACATTTGGTCCCTCATGTTATATAATTAGAATTGTTTTTAATAATTTATATAATTTATTTATTCAAAATTAAAAATAATTTTTTATTATAAATAAATACATAAATTAAAAAACTTAAAAAAAAAAAACCGCCACCGGACAGTCGGTGGCCGTCTTCTTCACGGAGACGGCCATGGCCATATTCCTTCGTCGGCCATGGCCGCGGCCGTCCTGCTGGGCAGCCATCGGCGGTTTTTTTTTTTTTTTTTTTTTAATTTATGTATTTATTTATGATAAAAAAATATTTTTAATTTTGAATAAATAAATTATATAAATTATTAAAAACAATTCTGATTATATAACATGATGGACCAAATATGCTACATTATGAACAATTAAAGGGTTAGGTTTGTTCAAATTAATTGATAGAGACTAAATTTTTAAAAGTAAAACAATTCAAGGGCCAAAAGCGTCGTTTTTCCAATTCTAAAAATAAATCTTATGTCTGTGATTCGTGAAAACCATGGTCCATGATTGATTTGTGGTGGAAACAAATCTTAAAATAGAATTATAATTAAATGTGGGTTTCTCGTTATGCAAGCTAAGACACTATACACAATATTAAGTGGTCCTAATAAGATTCGAGTGTTTAAGAGGTGATAGGAGTAGTACGTGGGCGAGCTTGCTAGGTTGTTTTTTTATTTTATTTTATTTTTTTTAATAATAATAATTAATGTATTTCATTAGTATTGCATTTCATAGTATATTGACATGTTCTGATATCAATTATCACGACATATAATTAAATGAGATGAATGAAAGTGCCAAAATAAATGTAACATTTTAACAGTTTGTATAAATATTTCATCATTTGTTTATTAATTGTCTAGCTTTGTTTTTTTCCTTCTTCTTCTTTTTATTGTATAAAGAATTATATAAATTTAATTATATCACTATAAGAAAATACAAGAATTTGTATGAAAATTTTCATAGATAAATTATAAAAAATTCATCACAATCCAAAATAATCATATATTTGTGAAGAAAAAATTAGGTCTACATTTTGCTTGTCGCAAATCACTTGCTGACTAATAAATAGCCGCCATTGTTTACAAATATATAGTTTTGGCCCCCAAAATGAAACCTTATGGCTCCGCCATGGCAAGAGCTAGCAGTTTATTACGCCTACCCCCAAAGCTATAGTTAGAAACAAAAGCTTGACTTTATTTTTTTTTTATATATACTTAAATAGTAAATCAGCAATTAGCGACGGTTTCAATGATTGGATGCTGGATTTACCTCTTTAAATCTCCATCTAATGTAGTATATGATTAATCAAATTGAGTCTTAGTTGACTTCATTCGAAAATAACTCTTCAAAAAACATTATATATTACATGCAAATAAATAGGAGTAGGTGTATCGGGATTCATTTCAGTTTTTTTTTTTCGATTTCGATTTCGGTATATGTATTTTGGTATTAAAAAAATGATACCATTCGGTTTAACATTACAGTTTGGTTTGGTTTGGATTTGGTTTGAAAAAGTTTGATTTCAGTTCCGAATTAGATCGGTTCAGTTTAAGAACCCTAATTTTTAACATTTTCTAATTTTACAAACACACTACCAAACAATACATATTCATATAGTCCAAATTTAAAGTCTAAACATTATATAACAAAATATCAATCTAAAGTTCGAACACACTACTAAGTACTAATTAGCAAACATCAGTTGACTTTTTTGCCTAACCGACTCTTCAGTTGCCTCACTTGGAATGTTTTGTTGACAAGATGAAGAATCATTATATTCATCTATATAGTTAATGTTTGGAGAACAAGTGGCAAATACTGTATATTTAATTTTGGACACAATCCATCATTACTTGACAAAATATATTTTCAGTGTACTGAAATATTAGTTTTTTGTGCACTGAAATATTATTTTGCAGTGCAACTGGAAAATAATATTCCAGTGCACTAGAAATATTTCCCGGTGCTTCTAAGCACGGGAAAAGTATTTCCAAGCATTAGAAATCAAAATTAATGATGTTAAAGCACAATAATTTCATAGACACATGAAACGAGGAAAATACTAAATATTGTAAAAATAACTCAAGTTAGAGATAATTGATAGGCAAAGAACAATTGTGGTTGCAAAGTAGAGAACAAACCATAAAGAAATCAAATAAAACATTTAATAGACATACCAATGAGAATATGAGTTGAAAGGCAGAGTAAGCATCAAGGGGTTTGGATTGACTTCTTTTATTATTATTATTATTATTATTATTATTATTATTATTATTATTAAAAAATCAAACGGTTCGGTATGATTTTTTACCAAATCGATTGATATATACAAAAATCTATTATCGTTCGACTATTTAATATATTATCGAACTTAATTAGTTCGGTTTGATTCAGTTCAGTTCAGAAAAATCAAACTGTATTGTCCACCCCTACAAATAAACTCTTGATATTAGATTTTATATTTAAGTGTCTCAAACTCATTTGAGTTGAAACCGGGTGAGTTTGTGACTATTGGATAACGTTGAAGCACATGATGATAACATGCATGTTTCATTAATGTGATGGAGAAATAGAATATTTTACAAATAAAATAAAAAGGAAAGAGATGGGTCGGGAATATATATTCTGTACATGGTGAGGTGATGGCCGCCAAATTACGGTCCACATAATTGTGTGAATCACGGTTCAAAATAATATTGTTAAATATAATGAGTAAGAATAATGTACATTATGTGTTAAAATAATAATGTACATTATATATTAAAATAATATATTTTATGTGTTAAAATAATAAAAATATATAATATAGTCGTTTTAGAACGTGGTTCACACAATTATATAGACTACGGCCACACAATAACTATTAGGTGATGGCCGGGATAGGCCTAATATAGTTTACATCACTCGAACCACATAGAAACAACCATTATTAATTATCTATAACCCCTATCTATACCCTAGCTGCCTACATACTAGGGTGGTGCTTCCTATGCAATTGTTATGTCATGGACTCAGGTTCACCTTGCAAAGTGGACCCAAGTCCAAAACGACGCTGTCTGAATTTAAAAAAAAAAAAAAAAAAAAAACAATTGCTTCCTTCTTTGTCGTTAACTTGCTGTTTGTCTTCAGAATTTGTTCTTCTATATTCATAATTTTTAAACTCTATATTTGCAATTTTAGAACTCTATATTCACCAATCTAGAAGTGACTATTTACAATTTTAGATCTCAATATACAAAATTACAGAACTCAATATTTACAATTGCATAATTTTATATTCACAATTACAAAACTCTATATTCAGAATATCTTCTGACAAAAAAAAAAAATGTAATAACTCTATATTCATAATTTCATATCTCTATATTCACAATTTAAGAACTCTGTATTTACAATTACACAACTCTATATTCAACAGTATAACACAATTTTTGAACTCTATATTCACAAAAGAAATATCATTAGCTGAGAAAATAGTGCCATTAACAACACCGATATTCTATACGCATGTTTTAGACTTGAGTTCACTTTGCAAGGTGGACTATGTCCACAGCATAATTTCCCGCTTCCTCTGCTCTGGAATCAACACTCACAAATTAACCAAAAACTGCTAATTATACATTTTTTTTATTCCATATATACATCAGATAGATCTAGCTTCGTTGATGGAATCTTAATATATTGCTAAAAAGAGTGGTGTTTGCTTCAATATATTAATTTAGTGGATAAAGAATATCACTTAAAACTTTTAGTGGTAGGATGAGTTCGATTCTTGGTACGAACATAAAATTTGGGTTCAACTCTTTGTACGTAGAAGTTCTACGTTCATAATATAATCTGACGAAGCCTAGAAATCTAGATTATTAAAAAAAAAAAAAAAGAATGGTGTTTGATTTAGGGCAAATTATACTATGGACCAAGATCTACCTTGCATTGTGAATCCTGGTCCAAAATAACCTTCCAATGTTTGCAGTTGACATATTTTATACCTGTAATTAACGGTTAACAGGGTAACTGCATATACGCATAATATGGGTTAACAGGGTAACTGCATATACGCATAATATGTTAACTGCAGTTAACATATTATGTGTTTGTAGCTATCTTGTTATGTGCCTGATGGAGGGTAAAACTAACCCATCCAATTCAATTCGGGTCGGGTCACGCAATAAATGAGACTGGAAGTAAGCACAGGAGTAG